CATACACTGTGTTTTGTGCTTTTCACATGTCTCCGGGCTTCAAGTTGGATATTATGTTATATTAGTAATAACATACACTACTACATACAGCACCATTATTTCTCTAGTTTCTCTTTTGCTCTTCTTTGCATGTTTGCTACTTTTTTGTTCTGTTCTCTGTAAAGATCTGTCAGTTCTTTGGTCCTTTTTGAAGAACACACTGCACACCCATGATGAGACATGCTTTTGGCAAATAACGCTTTGGGAATCATCTTATTGGTGCAAAAATACATTTTTATATTTTATGTAGCTTTACCTAAAGAAATCACGAAATGTTTTGGAATGGCTGAAGTAACAAAGTTCTTAAAGATACAATTTAAAATTGGTTTGGCTAATTGGTCTGTTATATATGGACATAACACTGGTTCATCCCTTGAGTCAGGTGCCTTTTTATGCTTGAGTGATTGATAAATCAGTTTTAAGTGGCTTAATAAACAAAAACAGATCCCTCTATAAGTGGTTAGGTACAAGGACTGGACTAAAAATGTGTATAAAAGCATCCAATGTCCAAAGTAAAACTTTGAAAGAACTTCAGAATGCCTGGAGAACTATTGCTCTCGAGCACTCTTAAAAAACTACAAAAAGGTCTGGTTCTTGGAAACATAATAGAAAAAAATGAGGGATGGTTCAAGATTTTTGCACACCACTGTAAATGCAGCTTGATACCGACGTACCTTCCTTTCTTCTTCTGCTTAGCTGAAAACAACCACTACAGTTGCAACCAGCAGATCATTTCAGGAGGATCGAATATGGCTCAACGGTAAAGAGGAGGACATAACCCATCCCAGACTGCAGTCCTGTCTGAGAGAGAGTGAGTGTTGTGCATTATATTTGTAAAATCATAGAGCAGACAGAAAGGAGTGCATACTACAATGTAGTTTTCTTTCTTTTTTCTTTATGTTTAGTTCGACGATTGGCACGGAAGAGGCGTAATGATGGAGACTCTGGCGTGGATTCAGCTAGTTTGTCACACAAAGTCCACATTTGCTCAGTTAACAACTTCCCCACTGCTGCTGGACTCGCCTCTTCAGCAGCTGGATTTGCTTGCCTGGGTGAGCTTGTCTGTGCTATAATTCACTTTTGCTAACATCTCCTTCTTCATCTTTCTTATAGTTGATATTGCTTCACTTAGTCCCAGTGTCTTTGTTTTTTTTGACTGTTCTGTGGCACAGTTTACTCTCTGGCTCGGGTGTTTGGAGTAGAAGGAGAGTTGTCTGGGATTGCTCGTCAAGGCTCTGGCAGCGCATGCCGGAGCATGTATGGAGGTTTCGTCCAGTGGATCATGGGAAACAAAGAGGATGGGAAGGACAGTTTAGCCCAGCAGGTGGAGCCAGAGACTCACTGGCCTGAGCTCAGAATCCTTGTACTAGTGGTAGGTCTGATTGTGGGTATAGAAGAGTGACACTAAATAAGTGAAAATAATACTGATGAATTTGCGCTTTTACAAATGCAGGAATGCAAAAGTTACATCAATTTGATGCACTTCTGTCACAGGCCAGTGCAGAGCGGAAGCCAGTTGGCAGCACCTCTGGAATGCAAACCAGTGTAAAAACAAGCTGCCTATTAAAGGTGTGTTCACCTTATACTGCAAATGTCAGAATTTTAATGTATATTGATTGGCACTTTATTTAAACCCAGCTCACTAATACAACACATGTCTGACTGTCATACCTGTGCCTGTGTTAGCACCGCGCTGAATCTGTTGTCCCAGGCCGGATGGTAGAGATGACTGAAGCAATACGAAAAAAGGACTTTGCAGCATTTGCTGAACTAACCATGAAGGATAGTAACCAGTTTCATGCCACCTGCCTCGACACGTACCCCCCTATCTTCTACCTCAATCATGTTTCGCAGCAGATCATCAGTTTGGTCCATCGTTACAACAAGCATTACGGGGAGACGAGGGTGAGCAGCTTTTACAGTGACATTATGGGAGAAATATCTGGGCACTGGACTTTATTTATTTATACATATTTGTATTTCCATTCCCTTATTTACATTTTATTTTATTGTTTTTCCATGAAATTGATTTTTCTTAACCACTCATCCAACTTGGGGTCACAGGTGCCTGTCCCAGCTGATATAGGGCGAGAGTTTAGTTTAACAGTGGACATGTTGCCAGTCCATCACTCAACACCATGCCATGCTTTCAATGAAATAAAGAAAACTTAATTTCCTCATGTGTTAAAATAATGCATTTTTTTATGATGCCGTAAAGAAGATGTGAAAGATGTGTGATGGTTTTAAACTGGAGACAGGAAAATCTCATTTTTTCTGCAATAGTCACATTCTGTTTATTATCTTTATAGGTAGCCTACACTTTTGATGCAGGGCCCAATGCTGTGATCTTCACTTTACAGCAGCACGTTCCTGAGTTTGTGCACATGGTTCAATTCTTCTTTCCCCCAGAAACCAACGAAGCAGAGTAAGTTGAAGGATGTTAAGCTCATTCCCTTTAAAATCCGTCTATAGCAATTAATTAATCCTGAAAAATCAACATTTAAATGCATATATATAGATATATACAGTGGAAAGTATTAGGTCTTTTCGTGTAATCTAAAGCTGATAAAGCAGGCCTTTTGCCCATTAACCTACTCTGAAATTTGTGAAAGTGAAACTTGTTTTGGTTTGTTAAAAATCAAGAACTGAAATCAGTTCTTACCAAGGTGTTTAAACCCTTTGCTGTTGCATTCAACATTTTGATCAGGTGCATCCTGTTTGCTTTAATTATTTTTGACACGTGTCTACAACATAACTGTGGAAACCTAAATGATTTGAGCACAGCTTACCAAGGCATGTGCCTGTAAAGAAAGTCTAACAAATCATATTGTATTAAGGCCCAAAGTCCAGGAAACTCTGTAAAAACTGCCCACAAAACTGGTCAAGAACACCATTTCTGAGGTTTTGAGTGTTCCCAAAAGTGCATTGTACTCAGTAGATTAACATCTCTAGAAGATATTTACCAGAAGTTACCTTGCCATCCAACCAAAATAAGTGATCAAGCAAGAAAGGTCTGCTCTGACTGAACCTCAGAGGTCCTCAAGTTGTTGTGAAAACCTGTTGGAAAGACAGCCAACTTACTGGTCAAATGATCCACACACTTAACTCCCTGAGCAGACCACTATTTCTGACTAATACCAGGCACTGCTTATTATCTTGCTGAAGGCAAGTGAATCAGGATGCTTGCATACTATTGGGGTCTTTCTCCACAGAAGGGACATGAAGACGCAGGGATGTAAAGATTTCAGAAAGGGAACATGAAGATAACCTGCTTCAAATTGCACACAACCTGAAAACACAGAAATAGCCTGAGCTAGAAAAAACCTGCCTAGAAGAATAAATCTGAAATGTCTATGAAGACCTGAACCTGCAAATGCTGCTAAATGGACTTCCACAGAGGACTTAATGTTGCATCTTAATGTTGAATAATGTTTTAGAACAAATGGTAGACTTGTATTTTTGTTTATTAAGGTGTATTGGCCTTCAGTCCTTTTTAAAATGTGTCACTGAGTGCTTCTTTCCTCTCTGCAGCTTTATTAAGGGTCTTCCAGTCAACTGTGCTTCTCTTTCTGAGGAGCTGAAGCAAGGTATTGGTCTGGAACCCATGCCAAAGGGAATAAACTACATAATTAGTACTAAGGTATTCACTCATATTTATCCACACAAGCAATTACTCCAACTTTGTATTATAGGCTTACTTTAAACAGCAGCTGAAAGATACAGAGGTTTTAGATTTAAATGATCCATCTATGCTGCACAAAACTGCAGTGATGTGTCTGCTGTAGGATTGCAAGAAGGTTCAGATGTGTCTATGCAATACCTTTCAACATGCTGTTATGAAACATAGTCTTGCATTGGTCCATTTAACTAGGGCACTGAAAGACCATGACAGTTATCTGAACCTTTGACCAGTGAGTGCTTCATTTGAAAAGCTAACGTTTCCAAGTGGAAAGAATAATTGTATAATTTTGAAGCTGTGAACACTCAGACACACATAATTAATCTGTTGTTTCATCTTCTTGTATTGTCTTCAAGGCTGGACCAGGCCCGCGTGTTGTAGAGGATCCTACTCAGCACCTGCTTTTATCTGATGGTTTTCCCAAGAAAACAATGTGATTTCCTCCTGCAGCCCTAAAGGAGCGAGTTCTACTGAGCAACAGGAAAGCCGATGTGACTTAGTTGCATACAACTTTTATCGCAGCAATACCAGACACCTTCCTCACAAGAGCGGAAGATGATACGTCTCCCTTTAAATATTAAACTGTCCTGTTTGGTCTCTTTTCATATCATCATTACTCCTTTGTGTTCTTTCATAGCTTTAATCATTTCTGTGTGTCTGTAGGTAGATAAACACTGATACTGCCTTGACTCTCTGGTAGTAAATAAGTGGAAACTCTTGCAGTGAGCAATGCACTGAGTCATAAATACAGATCGGACCGGAGACTGGAGCTGACCCATTGTTCTCTGACCTGTCTGATCAAATCATTGTCTGTACAGTTTTTTGTTTCTTCTTGTTAATCACCATTTCCGATCAACAGTGCATATTTAATTCATGTCAATTCAATGTCAATGGCACACAATAAAATATATTTTGGTCAAGATTTCATTTGTTGTTTGTGATTTTTGTCATCATCCGATTCTCATCCAGATGAAAAAATAATTCTCTATTCAATCTCAGAACTTTAAAAGATTGACTCATAATTCTGGTACAGAAGCAGCAAAAAGGACAGCAAATAATAGATAAGGAAAAAAACAAAACTTTTACAAATTCCGGTAACCTAACAATCACCGCCACAGTCAACAATCACAGTGTGAATATCTTGGGATAAAGCCGGTCTTTCTTTTCCTTGTGTTACCTGCCAGGAGTTTTCGGTTCTTCCTCTTCCGCTGTAGCGCTGCATTTTTTTCGGACATGACGCTTGAAACGGAGATTGGCTAAGGCAGAACAAGCCTCGCCCTCTGACCTGCCCTCCTGCACCCCTCAAATCTCGTAAATACATTTTCTTCCTTGTAGAAACTATTATCACCGTCGGTAATCCACGCCGGAGGAGCTCCAGGAGGTTGCAGAGGTGCTGTTAGGTTAACATAATGGGGAAGATTGAGTGGGCGATGTGGGCTAATGAGCAGGCTTTGGCGTCGGGTCTAAGTGAGTATGAAAACTTTATTATTATGGAGGGGGGGCGGTATTTAGCGTGTTTCTTGTCTTATTCGGTTACATGAGCGGTTTAATTCAAACAGAATATTTTCAAAGGGAATTATACTTTTAGCCTCTTGTCTAGCTCATTTACAGAGTGTTTCTGACAACATAATAAAGCACAGTTTACCATCTCTTTGTTTGTGCAGTCTGCTGGAGTGTATAATTTTAATCTTAACTTCCTGTTTTCTTCTTTCAGTTCTCCTCACAGGAGGAATCGTAGGCGTTGCTGGACAGTTCAGAGGGTGGCAGTTTGCTGCTTATGCAGTGTATCCTTTATTTTCAGTTGTATTTTTTAATTGTGTCTGGATTTTTGGCTTATTAAGCTTTTTCTGTGTTGTAGAAATAATAATATGCTAAATAACTTAAAATAAAGTACAGATGTTATTTACGTCACAAAAATCTCGATTAGAACTGATATAAAGTATGTATTCAGGCTACAGTTTGCATACAGGAAGCTGACATACTTATAACAAGTAAATACATTATAGGCTACACAGCTAATACTAGAGCCTTTAGCTTTCTGGTCTGTATTGACGTGATAGAACAGATGATGTGATTCATCTGTCCTCCACTACATCTTAAACAGGCTCTGTTGGATTGAGGTGTGGTGATTGTGGAGGCCATTTTAAGTTCAAGAAACCAGTCTGAGACTGCGTAGTGCACTGCCCAAGTGAAATGAGCAATTACACTGTAGCCATGCAGGGACACATATGCTCATCAACAATACTCTGCTGTTACATTCAAATTATACTAAAACAGTAACGATTCGTTAAATGATGTGCCAAATTTTGACCCCACCATCTAAATGCTGCAGAAAGAGAGTCATCGCCAATCAACCAGGCAATATGTTTTTTCCAGCCATGCATGTCCACTCATGGGCCCACTGTGTGCTCTGTTTACTTTTCTTAGCTGCACAAATTGAAGCCCGTGTGGTCTAAAGCTGCTGACGACCATTTGCTTTTTCTTTGACAGATTTTGTGCTCAGAGATCCTTCTCTGCACAACATGTCATTTTAGTTTCTATTGCATTGTTGCTCAATCAGTGCAGCCATTCCTCTCCTATCTTTTCCATCAGGAAGTGTTTTCGTAGCTCAGTGGGTGAATTTTCTTTCTCTCTAAGGCTTATTTAAAGTTATTAATATATGTCAAAAGGCATTTTGTTCCGGCCTCATTAGTGACTGAATTGGTGTTTTTATTGACAAGCAGTTGAATGAGTGTTATTAATACAATAACTGTCAAATGTATATGATGCATCACACAGTATGTTAAGCACAATTATGCAGCAAGTTAACATCAAACCTGACCAAATGTTCTAGTATTATGGATTTAACCGATGCTGTGCTTAACAATGTTCACACTGACATGCAAGAACATTATTTCTTTTTATTCATTAATGGCAAAAATACAACATGGGAAAGTACTTTCTTTTCCCCCCAGTAGCTATTCTTATGAAATAATGGACATATTCTCTTTTGTATTAGAAACAATGCTCTCATTCATTATTGTCTTTGCCTGCTGAACCGCTCAGCGTCACCAGTGTTTATCTCAATTTCACTTCTCAGACTTATCTCAGTGAGCATTCTTATCTGACTTCTTTTGGTCCTGTTGACTTAGTGCACTGTGTTTACTGATGATGATATATTGTTTCTGTTTTTATGTCTGTGTGACACTTTGCATGTAAATAAAGAACATTATTTTAAAGAAAACACCTTGACAGATAACTAGTGCTGCTGGGGTGTTTGTGTGTCTACTTGAGTATCCCAGAAGCAAGAGGGCCAAGGGCACGAGTGTGGAGAGAACGTAAGCAAACACTATTCATTTGGATGTGTGATGGACTTTAATGGACAAGTTCTAAGTTGCTCATGGTTGTGTCTTAATTTCTCTCAGAGGCCAGTACTGCTTCACTGTGTGCGTAAAAGCCTTTGGACCACTGACCAGGAACTACTATGTCAGGGCATTCTTACATGCTGCGTGAGTTCCTTATCTCAGCTGCTATCTTTGCCAAACAGCTTTCTATCACTGTCGATTAGTCAAGAATTATGACTTGGTTTATTTTGTCTTTTGTCATCAAATTCCTTTGTTTTTGTTTTTTTCCCTCAGCATCTGTGTACCTGGAGGTTTTATGCTTGCCACTGTTCTCGGATGTGTCTGCCTTGGCATTGCCAGCCTCATCTACCTTGCAGTAAGTTTGCAGCTTTTAACGCATTTATTTTTCTTTTGTCCAGCAAGTTAAATAACTTTTTGATAAAGTTGTTAACTGAAGCAGGAACTGGCCAGTTAGTGGAAACAAGGAAATAGCAACAAGGAACAGGTTGTTTCGTTACTGGCACCTCTGTTGAAAGATGTAGTTATGAAATCTGAACAGTTAGGGGTGTGACTGAATTCCTCAACACCTCTGTGGATCTCTGTGGAAGCTTTCGAGGTTGCACTGTTTATTTTTATATTTTCTAAACTACTGTGAGTGTCAAAGAAAAGGACCAGTAATAATAATCTTCCTAATTTTCAGACTTGAACAGTAACGTTCAGTCATGCTTAACTTAATCATCCACAAGCCAGTCATTGTTGATTTGTCATCTTCTTGCTTTGTAGGCCGCTATACGAGGCGAGCATTGGGAGCCCATTCTTCCACGGAAGGAGACCCGAAAACCAGTTGCACAGAGCATCAAGAATCCTCCTCAGAATCCACCACCAAGACCTCCTCCAGAGATGCGCAGGAAACAAGCAGGCGACCTTGAAAAATCAGCCTATGACAACCCCATGTCTGTTACTGATGATGAATAAGCAGTATAGCTTCAGTCCATAACCAGTTACAGTTGGAGTTTACTGGATTGTGTAACTCTGGATGAACAACGTTTTTCTGAAGTTTAGTGTTTCTGTTGACCGGGCAACAAGTTAGACACACACCTCCTTAACTCAACTCAACTAAGAAAAATGGGAGGAGAAAATGAAGGAAATAATTTGTTCAATGAAGAAAGAAAAATCAGACAACAGAATATAAATGTAAACACTGTAGCTGCTAAGTGTCATCCGCTAACAAATATTGTCAATTTGTTTTAAGTTGTTCTGCATCCAAAATAATTACACTGTGTTTTAACCCTTTACGTATTTCTTAAAAAGCAGCTCATCCCAATGCTGTTTAACAGCTGTTTTTGACTGTATCTGGCTGACATTAAGCCATTTATTAAACTTTTTGCTAGCATTTTCACTGTGTTGTAAATAAACTCATTTTATCCTTTGACTCATTATGTGTTGTAGGCGTATTCTTTAAATCTCTATTCTACAAGGTTTCTGTGGTAAATTATTTTAAGCAATGCAACTTCCCCATTTTGCAAATGTACACAATTTCAATATGTCAGAATTTCCCTTTCTTGTCTCAGCTGTTTCTTTCTTCTTCTGCATTTTTGTCATATTGCCATCAATTGTTGGCTTACAAAGGGAAAAAAATCTTAGGATCATTCATTTGGTTTAGGTGCTGGTTGTCAGACAAGTTCTGCATGTTTATGTATTGTATTATATCTTTTGTTACCCCTCATGTTTTTGTGTGTGTGTGTGTGTGTGTGTGTCACAGCTGACCTGTCAGGCAGCTGGCTATCCCTATAAATAGGCATCTACTTATGAATAATGCATACTGTCAGATGATAATCCATGGGTACAGTTGTTCTTCATTTTAGTTTGGGGCCTAGCACTAATGTACAGTGTTTGATCTATTTAAAAGCATTTTTAATGTATATGTTGTATTTTTAAAATAATCATCAAGACAATATGATTCATATTTTCACGGGTTCTTTATGCTGCTAGAAAAGTTGTTTGTCTTGTTTATAAAGTAGGTTAATTCTGCCACCTCCTGTTCAACGAGAGAACTACAAACGAAGTTGTGCTGCATTAGATGTTGATCCAAAGGCAAAGTAAGACTAGTTATGAAATCAGTTTCGTTGATTCATTTGTTATTTTTCAAATCATTCAAAAGAAATTATAAAACAACTGATCTTAATTGTAATGCTCATGATTTTTCTTTAAATAATGAAATAAGTGTGGAAAATCTATAGAAACACATAACTTAACAAATGTCAAAATAAGTTCAACTCGTATGAAATTCAGATGTAGGTCATATAAACACATTTTACAAGTTCTGATAATTTATCGATAAATCTAGCGTCATTAATTGCGCAAGTTATTTAAATTGCATGGCTTTTAATGGCTTGGGTTGTGTATTCCCTAGCAGACATATATCTTGCTCTCCCATCCTCTGTCTTGCTAGTTTGACAATTTATTGCGTGCCTGTTCCTGTTCTTACGTACTTTGCGTAGTGACAGTTTTATATTTATTGTTGCAATTCCTCATCTATCCTATGGATGGCAGTAACACACGGAGAAGCGCAGAAACATTTCGATGAAGAAGAAAAGGAACCCAATGGAATTCGTCCTCAGTTTATTAGTCTGCTGTGTCTGTCTGCTAGCAAAACAACAGTTTTAGTCGTTAATATTCAAGTGTATGTACCTCATGAGTATCAGAGAATGTCTACCCGGGCTCTTCGAAGGCTTAAAGGGAAACAGCGAGGCCAGGAGGCGTTAGACTTGGGGGATCTAACTTTGGGTGACACCCCGGAGGAGCAGGCTGAGGCTGAAGAGGAGCAGTTGGACACGGCTAACGTTTCTCCTTCCAACAAGAAAAGTGACGGCCGAAAGGCAAAGAAAAGCAAGGCTCAGAAAAATTTCAGCAACATTTACGAGTTGGTAAGGTGACTGTGTAATCCACCAACTCATGCTTATCATGAAGTTAGCATAAAGTTAGTGTCTTAATGGCAGCTGTTTACGGCTAGCTCTCTCTGGACTAGCCGTATGACATGATGCCCAGCTGGCTGTCGCTTTAGAAAATCGTCCAAATGTAGGCTCTGTCTATACCATCAGAACGAACACCGCCAGAAAAGGTCTGGTATTTGCTTTCAGCGCGTCACTATTCTTTTAAAACTTACCTTTAAAATGCCCTGTACGGCTGATTGCACATGGACCGACAATCGACAGCTGTCGGTGTGATTCCTCATCAACACGAACATAATCCTAGTGGGTTGGGAGTCGTACAGGCGCTGCCTTTTGTACTTACTTCTACTTATTGTGAGACCGTGTTTAATATAACTAACTGAAACCTACAGTGCTGTGAAAAAGTATCTGATCCCTTCCTGATTCCCCCCTATTTGTCACACTAACATGTTTTTGGAAACTTTGGTTTAATTTTACTTGACAACCAGGCTTGATTACTGCCAGACCTGTTGAATCAATAAATCACTTAGATGAAACTGAACCTGTCAGACAAAGTGTAGTATGTAGGTTAAAAGATCTCAAAACTCAACACAGTGTGCTACCATCTAAAGAAACTAAAGAACAGATGAGAAACAAAGGTGGAAAGGTGTTACCAAGCCCTCTTAAGGCCACAGTGAGTGTCATTATTCATAGGTTAAGAAAACCTGCCACAGTGGTGAACTTGGAGTGGCTGGCCTACAAAAATCACTCCATCTGTAACTCATCCAGGAGGCCACAAAAGAGCCCAGAACATCATCTAAAGAACTGCGGGCATCACCTGCCTCAGTCTGAGATGCTTTGGCATGACCTTAAATAGGCCAGTAATGCTTGAAAACCCTGTGAATTATAACCACAGTTGAAGAATTATTCCATGGCAATGTGAAAGACTCATTCCCACTTTGCGGTTCTTGCTGCCATGGGTGGCACAACCAGTTATTAAATTTAGGGCTAATTACTTTTTCATAGGACAATAACTTGTCTTAACTTAAGGCCATGAAGGAAAAATATTTCTGTCACAGTGTCACCAGCATTAAAGGGTTTCTTTTGTTTGTTTGTTTTTAATTTTCAGCTCATTTCATATCAATACTGTTTACATAGATCAGTTTATTTAAATTCTCCATTGATCAGAATAGAACTAAAAATATGAACTCCTCCCACAATTTAAGTCACAATTCACCCACAAGCTGTGGTTAAAATGTCATCTTAATATACCTTCTCATCATGAACACAGACTTTCGTGTATTAGGTATTGTTTTGTGTTGGAGTTGTAGCTGTGCCGTGTTGTGACGGGATGCTTTCAGTGCCAATGTCCTATTTTTACCAGATCGGTAGTACAGACATCGAAGGAGAAAAAATTTCAGCTGATGAAGAGGCAGAGAAACCAAACAGAAACAAAACAAGCGACCCAGCAAAGAATGACAATAGAGACACCGATAAACTGGATCAAAAGCACGAGGAAGAGTCAGCCAAGGTAAAATGAAAACAAAGCAACAGTGATGCACTTCTGCAGTCTTCTAGGTCCGTGGAAATCTGATCTTATTGTGCATCTTCTCTTTAACAGCCCCCTGGAGACAGAGTTAAAAAGAAGAAGAAGAAGAAAAAGACAAAAGTGACATCAGAAGATGGACAGGTAACATATTTACTATATACACTATTTATTTAATTAATGCTTCAGAATCAGAAGCTAAACTCACAGTATGCATAACTTGATCCCCTCTTTTTGAACTGACTGTGTGTATGTGCTTTACATTCAGGAGGCTGCAGCAGATGATAACATTGATTTATTGCTGGAAAACTTGGAGCAGTCTAACGGTCTGAATTTGCAAAATGACGATTCTGGAGTGTCAGACAGAAGACCTGTGCTACATGTGGAGCACAGGTGAGGACATGTTTGATCAAGACATCAAAAATGGCACAAAATGATCCTAATAACACACATTAGGATCATTTTTCATTAACCAAACCTGACCAGCATGGTGGCAGAAGCATTTATCTTTCTATATATATTTGTACACAAAAATCAGTTTTTTTAGCATACTGCATTAGTTAGAAAATAATAACAAAAAATTCATTCATTTTATAGCTTTAGGATTTTTTTTTAAACAGTGGACAGCTGAAATTCCTTGATTTAGTCAGTTTTAGGTTGGTTTGTTTAGTTTTTAGCCTCAAACATAATTTCTGTGATTCTGAAATGCTGCCATGTGGTGGCGCTTGGCTCACAGAAGAAAAACAAAACACAATAAGGCCATTAGTCGTTCGGATTGTACAACAGTTTATTAATACCAAAGTGCAAAAAGTTAAACTGGTTTAGAAAATGTTGCACAAGACAAATCACCAGTGTTGGTGGCAAAGCATCATTTGTTCCTTTCTGCATTAAAAGACTGTTACAGAACAAACACTTTTTTGTACCAGTAAGTCAGCTGGGTGGTTCCAAATAAATGTGCAAATTCTGCACTGTCAAATAATATTAAGGTGATTAACAGCCACTGAGACATTTCCACTCAACTGTATTTTTCCTGTGGCTTTTGTGAGAACCTTATTTGCTGCTTTCAACTCGCAAAAATACAGTTAATCGTGTGAAACTCGTCTGTGCCCAAAGCAGTAAACAATTACACTGATGACCTGGTTTTATTTTGGTTCTGTACTCTGACTGATATAAAGTCAGCTTTGAAATCGGGTGTGCTTCTGGTACGACCACTTCTTAATCTCAACACTTATATGGTGTGTTTCTCATGGTCCTCAGTGAAATTGTCTGCTGTATGATATTTTTTTGAAATTGAACTTGGATTTAACTGGAATGCATTTCTTCTACCAGTTCAAAGTGAATTTCATTTTCATTTTGAATTTCTGTGGTAACTCAGGAATCTCAACTCTGAGACGGAGCTGAAGAGATATTTTGGGGCTCGAGCTGTTCTAGGGGATCAAAGGTAATAGCAAAACCTTTTTTTTCTTTTTCTTTTTTTTTTTAAAAAGTAGTCAGTGCCACTTTTTTAAACAAGTAAATGAATTATATCATCTATAGTTTGTGCTGCTGTGGGCACTGTGCTGCTGTGGGCAGCACGGTGGCACGGTGGTTAGCACTGTTGCCGCACAGCAAGAAGGTCCTGAGTTCAATTCCACCATCAGGCCGGGGTCTTTCTGTGTGGAGTTTGCATGTTCTCCCCGTGTCTGCGTGGGTTCTCTCCGGGTACTCCGGCTTCCTCCCACCGTCCAAAGACATGCAGCTTGTGGGGATAGGTTAATTGGATAACCCAAATTGTCACTAGGTATGAATGTGAGTGCGAATGGTTGTTTGTCCCTGTGTGTTAGCCTTGCGACAGACTGGCGACCTGTCCAGGGTGTACCCCGCCTCTTGCCCTATGACAGCTGGGATAGGCTCCAGCGCCCCCCGCGACCCTGAAAAGGATAAGCGGAAGTGAATGGATGGATGGATAGTTTAAAATATAATCTTGCACTTTTTTTTGTTAGGCCTCGACAGAGAAACAGACAGTTTCACCGTAGCACTTGGATGACCAGTCCAAAGGACAGCTGGCCTCGCTTCAGCCGCCCAGGTATACTTTTATATATTAATTAATCATAAGGAATTTTATGTGGCGTGATTTGCTGATAATTTCAGTAATACTTTTAATGATGCTGATCAAAGGTTGACTTTGTGTGTCGCATGCTGCTGTTTGAAACTAAAACATGAAAAGTTTCGTGATTACCTAATGGTTATTTTGGGATATGATTCAAATGCCAAAACACCCACAAGAACACTACTGATGACACTCAGTGTATAGGCAGCTTTCTGTGTAAATAAATGTTTAGTTAGATTGGTGCACATGTGTTTTTCAGTTGTCCCAGGATGAGGACAGTTTTGCCTGTTAAGCTCTTATATGACACAGCAAAAGCAGAAGACACACAAAAGCACACATAGCTGTGATAAATTAGTTTCTACAGCAATTTATATCAATCAAAAGCTCCTGATCTATTCTCTTTTAACTATACATAATTCAAGCTGACAGGCACATAATGGTGTTAAGACCTTTTCATGCTACTTTATCTTGTAGTTTGAAGGAATTACATTTAGGGTAAAAGTTCTAAACTGTGCTAGTTATAATAGATATTTAGGTGTAACATGCAGTGAATGTTATTTGATACTCCCATCGTAAGACCACCTCATTGTAAACATATTGAAAGTTATCGTTGATGGGTTATTTAATTGTTCAATTTCGATTCTTACACTTTGTTTGAATCACATTTTTCTCATCTAACGTAAAAATCTTTTTTAATATATTAAAAACATTTTTTTCAATATTTATCAGTTGTTTATCAGAGTGACTTTAAATGTAACATGAGTTGTGCTTTTCTTTACGTGATGCTTTGTTCCTTCCTGCCTGACCTCTCCGCAGGAATCTCAATGACCTTACTGGAGACAAAGGACGGCGTTCATTACTTCACGTTTGAGCACAGTCGGGAATACCAACAAGTGCAGTTCAAGTTCCTGGATGCCGTGGAGTCCATGGACCCCAACAACATTGTGGTAAATGAAATTCTTCAGTTGTGTGTGTAGACACCGACGACTGTGTCAACCTAAATGTTGGCAACTAATTTTTACTTTAAAACATTTAAATCTACACTGAAAAACTCCAAATATTTTAATCATTTAATGAATAACGTGAAGCAAATGCAATGTAAAGATAAACTAGGTTCATGATGGATTTGAGTGTGGAAAACAAGAAGACTAAAGACGCCAATAAGGTGTGTGTGTGTGTGTGTGTGTGTGTGTGTGTGTGTGTGTGTGTGTGTGTGTGTGTGTGTGTGTCCTTTCTGATCCAGGCCCTGCTTCAGCTTAACCCCTACCACATCGATTCCTTGCTGCAACTTTCTGATGTCTGTCGCATACAAGAAGACCAGGAGATGGCTAGGGACCTTATTGGTGAGGATCATTGGATGCTCTGTGTCATGAAATACATTGTTTTTTTTTTTTTTTTTTTTTTTTTTTAAATGATGATAGCTGGGGATCCACTCTGTTCAACCACAATCTGTTAAGAGCAAATGACGCATCTAGCTTCAAGGCAAACTAATGATCTGCAAGTACGATGGTGATTTATTCAGATATCTTTAGACTGTAATGAAATTTTGAATCTTAACTGGGTTGTGCTTCATTCACTTGTTTGACCTGCACCCACTCTGGCGTTCTGATCTCAGTGACTTAATACACAAACTCTTTCTGTTCTTGCTGTAGACACGAGGTTTTGGTACAGACATGAAATGCAGCTTGTCTTAAGGCATTATTCTGCCTTAAGACAAGCTTAAGTGCATGTCTGTTGTTCATCATCACTAAGAGGACCGAGCATATACTGTACTTTTTTTCAGTATTAACTGATTACTTAATTTGTTTTGGTATATGAATACCTTTAGAATTCAAGCTTTTAATGTTCCATTTCTTTCAGTATAATTACAATTTAAAAAATGTATTTTATCATCATTTGTAAAATGGAAAAAAAAAAAAATCTGAACTCTCGATCAATTAAAACCATTTAAAGCAAAAATGCTGGGCTTTCTAAACTATAGGTGATGATGATGTAACATGGTGCCAATTGAGGTTTTGTCATTTTCTTTTTTTTTTTTTTTTTTTAAACCGTGTTGCTGGTATTAAGTTGACTTTTTTTCCCTGTTTTTTGTCTGTTCTAATCAACTAAATGTATTCACTTCCAATATCTGATGTTTTGTCTTTGTAATAATTTCAAGTAAAAATGCATTTTACCTCATTTCTAAACTGTCTTTCTCCACATTGATTTATATTTGTAGTTATTTCAGAGGTTAGGTAGTTCCTTGATATACTGTGAGTAAACAAACTAGCCACTGTTAACAAGTCAAAATTCATGCAAAGGACAATGATGGGTTTAATTTCACAGGCGCCATCCTATTTATGTCTCTGAAATAGTTTGTGTAGAAGACCACAGGGATACTTTGTCCTCTGCAGGGATAATTTGTCTGATTTACGTAGTAACACGGCGCCAGCCAAATGCAAGCTGAAGGCGTAAGAGACGTTGTTTTCACTGCTGGTACATGTTCGTGTACCAAAACTTTAAAGGTGGAATGATGCAGCCTTGTATACTTATTAATAGTCATTTCCTAAGTAAAACATGTATTTTTGTTTTTTCCAGAGCGAGCTTTGTATAGCTTTGAGTGTGCTTTTCATCCTTTATTCAGTCTGACGTCGGGCACCAGCAGACTGGATTATCTGAGACCAGAAAACAGGTTGGTTGTTCCCTTTTGTACTTTTTAAAAATGTTGTTACACATTGTACTTTTGTTAAACATCTTGTAGACTCTACAGTATAGTTTTCAACTTAAATTATATATTTATGAAGTGATTGAACTCAGCAATTCAGTAATTCAATCTCCCCTGTTTGCAGAGCATTTTATCTGGCTCTGTATAAGCACATGATGTTCCTGGAGAAGAGAGGATGCCCAAGGACAGCTTTGGAGTACTGCAAACTTATCCTGAGGTATAAAAAGAAAAGCTTAAAACGTGGGAAAGGATAAGCTACATAATTAGATATGAGGCATTTATGATAGCAATAATAATAAATCCTCACTCTTCCCCATTCAGACTCTTCCCCCTTCAAACAAACTTTAACTGATGTATAAAACATTATGTTCCAGATTTTTTTTTTAACAGCTAATTTACAGTGCTGTGAAAAGTCTTTGACCTTTCCATAACATTATGGACTCTTGTGAAAAACCGAGTGCACCCAATGATTCTATGACTTTGTTTAGTTGCATGTTTTCTGTGACTTTATCGCCTTTCACATTTTGGCCTCTTGTCTGTATAAAATTGCTTTAGTTCAGTGATATTTGTGAGGAATTATTTATGCACACCTCTCTTAAAGACCCGCTATAGCATTTCAAGTCTGGGTGAGGTCCGGCTGGGCCATCTCAACATGTTGATTCTTTTCTTTTCAGCATTTAGTTATAGATTTGCTGCTGGGTATGGGATGATTGTCCTGTTGTGGATGACCACATTTCAGTCACACTTAAATTTTCAAACAGATGGCCTCACATTTGACTCTAAAATACTTTTCTGTAGAGGTTTTTTGTGACATCATAAACACAGTGATTGAGAACTCTCAATCACATGGTACACATGGTCATATTGGACATGGTACAACCACTGCTCACGGGGCAAAAATGTGTTTTGTCCAACTGATTTGTGAGAGGTTTGCAGAGGTTCTTTGCAAGATGCCAACTTCTGTACAAACACTCACCACGCAGTAGTCGGTGTGCTCCATGCAAACTACTGACAATCAAGTCAATCTGCTAGTGACCTGTTGCTAAGAGGTTTTTGCTGCAGGATTAAATAACTTTTGTTACCAATTTCATCCGGTAACTGCCAGCAACCACTTGGAAAACAGTCAGGGAATACATTTCCTTTGCAACCAGTGGTTGCCAGATGGATGTTGTCCAGTGTCTGAGGTCTTATTCACTTTGAACATCACAGTAACTGTAAGGTGGCCAGATTCTGTGACTGCAAAACTAAGCCTAAATCATCACCTCCAGCTGTGCTTTACAGTTGGTATGAGATGTTTGTGCTCATATGCTATTTGGTTTTCACCAAATGTGGTGCTGTGCATTCGAGTCAAACATCTCCACTTTGGTCTCATCTGTCCAAAGGACATTGCACTAGACTTTTGAAACATTGTTCAGATGCAACTGTGCAAACCTAAGGCATACTGGCGTGTTCTTTTCAGAGAGAAAAAGCCTTGTCTTAACAACGCTTCCAAATAAACCATCTTTGTTCAGGCTTTCTTTTCACTGTCATTAGCTTTGACATTTAATATTTTTTGCAGTTTCCCTGAGCATTGCACAGTCTAACCTTGGGGTGTATTTACTGGGACGTCTAGTCCTAGGAAGATCGTGGCATTTTGTAACGCACTTGAATGGTCCAAACGTTTAAACGGTCAAAACTGCTTTTCTCGAGGTGTTCGTGATGATCAGTTAATCAGCTGCATTTGATTAGCAACACCTGGCTGCTAGTTACCTTCTTAATTGCTGAGGAATTAATGGGCTGATTGGACATGTGAGCAATAACGATGAAAGAACACGATCTGTTTCTACTCAAAGAGAGAGGATGCACATTAAGACGCTTTCACTGTCCCATTACATGAAAAGTATTACATAAATGACTTTCTAGAGAAACAAGAGGAACCTTTATTCTCTTTATAAAGTAAACACTAAACAGGCAAATTTGTTGAGGCACCTTTTTTATGTGCACTAATGTGGTGAGACTGTCTGCTGATAACGATCCGAGATGGACTCGGAATTATTTATAAGGTAAAAAACAACTGAACATGTGTTTCAGACCATTCATTCAGGTCATGTATTGAGATTCGGGCTAATATCATGACCCGTCTTTTACAAATAATAGAATTAAACTTTTATGGAGACATAATTTAAAAACAGTCCATGTGTTTATATCATTATCTCTTATGTTAAGAAATCACTTACCAAAAAGCTTTTCACGAAGTGTTCCTGTGGGGACACTGCTGCCATAAGCTTCAGCTTTGCAGACTATTCATATAGTTGTCAATATTTTTTGTGATTTTCATCAAATTCTGGCTTCCTGATTTAATGTTCCGGCCTGAAGAGCAGCAGTGTGGTAATAAAAAGCACTGGCCCTTTATCACCGGCAGATATTAAGTCACTGTTTGCTGTCGTTATAATCACAGTTGTTGTTAAAGAATTTATTTTTTTGCCCTTAGGTTGATTTTAAGCTATTGTAAAAAGAGACTTGTGTGCATAGATTAATACCTCCCTCCTGGTTACTTCAGTTGGTTTTCTGCCTGAGGGTCAAAATTTACTGAGGAAACAAACAGCAAAGCAGTGGTGTTTTGGAGCTGTCTGGTTTCGACCCTCTTCATTAATGCCGTCTTTACTAAATATCCCTAAATGCCATAACCAACAGTGGCTGTAATGTCTGAAACACCGTAAGCAGCCCAGATCATCGTGGTGTGATAGTTTTATTTGTACTTAGTCTAAGACACATCTTTGTCATGGTTGTTTTATATTCATTTTTTTTCTTCCCCATTTGAATTAGTTTGGACCCGGACTCTGACCCTCTTTGCATGCTGCTGCTCATTGATTTCTTGGCACTTCGATCCAGAGAGTACCAATCCGTCCTTCAGTTATATCAGGACTGGGAGGTAAAGTGTGCACTTACGTTCTGTGTGCGTGCCGGAGTTAGTGTGCCACTGTTAAATTTTCAGTCTGTGACAGGAATTGTTTGTTTTTGCTTTTCAGGAGCACAGAAATCTGTCTCAGCTGCCAAACTTTGCATTCTCCACTGCCCTTTGTCATTTTCATCTAAGTCAGCAGGAAAATATGGACCCTGAAGAAAGTCACAAACAAAGGCACAAAGCCGACCAGCTGCTGCAGATTGCCCTCATCATGTTCCCTGCAGGTTAGACCCTCAGCAATGAACTGAATCAAATGGTTGCCCTTTATTTAGCTCTTCATATTCTAAGGCATACTCTAAAGAATTTTAATAACTTCCAGGACTGTTACCATTCACCTTTTGAAAAGTGTAACTTTGTAATTCCCTGCCCTTTAACGTGTTCCCTTCTCCCCACTATAGTCTTGATGCCTTTACTGGATCTGTGTACTGTGCAGCCAGATGCCGCAGTCACCTCCCATAGCTTCTTTGGTCCAAATAGTCAGATAAGGTAACGTATACTCTCTTTATTTTCCAAACTATTGCACAATGCAGGATTTTAAAAACAATTGAAACATTTTTTTCTTCCATCTTTGTACCCTCATGTTAAAGCTCTTTGCACTTGTTCCATCTTTAGGCAGCTGCCAGCTCTGGCTGAACTGACAGGTCTGTATGTGGGGAGAACTTGCACTCTGTGGAGGGAGGCTGCAGTAATGCTTTGGCTGGAAGAGATGGTGAAAGAAGTGCTGCGACGAGTTGATGCCAAAGACCCTGTAGTGGAGGACTGCCAAAACAAGTCAGCTTTTTTTTTTTTTTTTTTTTTTTTCTCCTTGTTCTTTTGTTTTTTTTTAAACATTGGAGGCATTTGTTGATGACAAAGAGAGGCAAAATTAACTGTGGGCTGGGTCTTACCTCTGCACTTAGTATTCCTTTAATTAAAAGTACATGCCTCTCAAAACCTTCCCCTTCATGTCTTTCTAATAGGAGAAAGCAGAGGTACCAAAGTGCACCAAGGAACATCCATCGCCATGTCCTACTCTCTGAGATCAAAGAAGCCACCTCAACTCTGCCTCTGGTAAGAAACAATCACCATCTGCACCTCAGCGTCTTCTATTCTGAGAACTGCACACAGCAAATTGCAAGTGAAGTGTAAATGTTTTGTATTTTATTTTTTTGTTTTTTTCCTCAAATGTTCTTGGTTACGTTATCTTGATTAGGGTGCTGAACAGTCTGAGGCACCACCCTGATAGCAGAAAGCATACTCCAACCATTGCTAGTGACACATCTCGGTGTCTTCAGTTCACTCTCCAAATCTCTAACTGTAAATCACAGAATAATTGATCTCAGTGTCATTGTGGGGAAATGATTCCCTGTGAACAAGCACACAGTCACAGTGCAAAGAAAACATAATCTCTGGCAGAACCAGATTATGGTGTGTGGTTAGTGGAAAGCAGTTAGAGCAAAGAAGACCTGTGAGAAGCAATAGCTGTTTTACAAACTATTGTCTAATAAATTTTAATTTAAAGGTTTGTACCAAATGTAGTTTCTTCAAAATCACATGATTACAGCTGTATTTCATACTCTAACAGAAGTCTGCTGTTCTCCAGCTCGCCCAGGTCATCGCCTGTAGATTTTAAACTATAAAAAGACAAACTACACTGCTCAAAAAAAAGTTTTATTTCTGAGCAGTGGACTTTGTGGACAACTTAAGTTTTTTTTGTTTCTTTTTTTCTCAAATTACTGAAGAAAGAGGCCAGACTGCTTAAAATCCATCCATCATTTTGCACACAGGCATTTGATAACTAGCTTTTCTGTTCTATATTCATGTATTTTTGGGGGGATTTGTTTCACCACCAGGAGGTGACCACTCAGCCTGTGATGGGGTTTGATCCTTTGCCTCCACTCGACTCAGTGATATCATATACACGACCAGAAAGGTAATTGTGGATCCTTATACTTTTTTTTTTTTTTTTTTTTTTGTCTCAATTTTCATTTTAACTTCATGACTTGTTTATTTTTGGGTCTGCATATAGGCCGCGTGTTGGTGCATCCAATGAGAGTACACTCTCACTGTTTTTCCGGTCATTGCTGCCAAACTTTAACATTCAGGTGAGTCAGTCAACATCAGTATTTTTCTAGGGTCAATGTCTATTTTAGATTTTATATTGATTAACGCTTGTCAGGAAGCTTTTAAATGCACTCATAACAATTTGTTTTTAACTTGAGTTTTGCCTCCCCTCTGTTTTGTGCTGCGTTTGCCACACAGACATGCAGCAGAGTCTTTTTCACAAGCACACAGACACATGCACATAGCAAAACAGGAGGAAGAGAGAGTAACTAGTTTCTTTGCAAACTGTTAAATTAAGCTATCTTACAATAAAACAACAGACAGATATATCGATTGTAGGTCTGTATTATCTCATTTTCTGATGCACTTTCATTTTTAAGGTGTGCAGTGGTATAGCATTGATTGTGCATGTTGGTTGTGTCAGAAATGAGGGGTAAATGCTGACGTGAAGCTATTGACGATGAAGTTGGGGGAACATTTTGAAAACTAGCCAGTGGAAAAGGATGGATGGATGACATTCAGTTATACTGTAGATGTCCCTCCTCACTCTCAAGAGCATACGCTACTGCTATAGCTTCTCTAAACAGCTGCATAGGCTTAGAATACCATGAAATACAAATAAAGAACCCATAGTGTGTGCATGTGGTAACACCATGTGACTAAGCTATAAGCCCCTGACACAAAACTCACACAAGTTTAAAAGAAACAAATAAGCGCAGTTAGTGAATGAATCATTATGAACTGGTGAACTCAGAGGGCTGTAAAGTGATTTAATTATGTTCTCCTTGGTTCTCTGATTTCTTGCAACGATGTCTGTTGAGTTTACATAAAACATCACTAAAGGAGCTACAAAGCTTTGAATGAGAGTTTACCTGGTAGCTGTTGAAAGGATACAGTTGTGGTATACCAGTGGTCAGAAATACCATTATTACTTTAGTATTACTTTAACACAAAATCAGTGTTGAACCAGGACCACTGCTATGAGTCACACTATGCAGCATAAAGGCCGTTTCACATCGGACACGGCATGCTCTGTGCTCACCGCTAACTTAAGAGCGAAGGATCCAGAATTTGTTGCACTGGCTGCTGAGCTCTGCTTGTATATTGTTTTTTAGCGGCCGCTCTAGGTGTACTAGATGCACCTGATCTTTGTCGTTTCAAAACGTGTATCTCTCTGACTTTATCTCCTCTACGAGAGTTTGTGTTGTATTAAGTTCAAATGTTTAATAAAAACGTATCTCTCGTTCATAACAAGGAAAGCTTTGTAACTGTCCCAACTAGTGAAGAGTGTGCCATTTCCACAACACTGCTTTTCCTCCGAGGTCAACAGCGCCTTTGAAAACGCCCTGCTTGTCCCTGTGTAAGCACGTCAACCTGTAAGAAAAGGTTTACTTGGACACACACCAATGTTTTCTTTCATGGTGTGGCAATAAGAGACATGAAAGGGCATTTATCCTTCAAGGACCTGCAGTTCAAAAAAAGCACCCCTCCGACAGCCAAACCCATCTGTTCTCTGATTGGATAGTTAAATTTGTGATTGACATGACATTGACCAATCAGCTGAAAGGAAGAAAAATAGGGTCAAAATCCATACTTGTAAGTTGAAACCTGAGTGCAGAGTTTCAACTTACAAATTCTCCTTACACATAAAAATCTTTTTTACGCACACAAATTCTTTTTACGCATACAAAACTGAAGTACAAAATATTTATGACCACAATTTGAGCCCATATTTTTGCCTGAGAGATGGGACTTGAACTGAAAAATTGGGATTAAAAATGAAATACAATAAACAATTATTTTCAAAGTTATGATAAATTAATTTGGTGTCAGATAACAGAATTTAAAAAATGTCTGGCTCTCACCTCCTGACAAGAGCAAATGTTGTTAACCTCTACTCTGTGCAGGTACTTTGTAATTATGCAAAAGAAATTAAAATTAGACACATAATAAATCAAGATTTTTATTCTTCCGTAATAAAGTTTAATAAAGTGACTCTCTCTTTCACCTTCCTAAACGGTCCGTGGGTCTGACATGTTCTGATGACAGTCATACCTCCTCCAAAGCAAACTCCAGTCTAGTGTTCGCCCTCAACACCCTGAATGATGCATTTCAAGTAAAGTTGTGTTTTGGGGGGGGTTTTTCGGTTTGGTTTGGTTTTATGATTAAAGCAGACACGCACAGATACACCCATTTAATAGCAGCACCCTGCAGGGCTGAGCTGGTAAACGATCTGGGAAAACATTTTAACACACATCCGTGACTGATTTCCTCTTAAGACTCATGGCCACCCTAAGGCAGACCTTCCCAAAGTGTGGGGGGCGCAGATCCATGGCAGAGGAGGCGCAGTATGAAAAGGGGGGAAAAAAAACAAAAGGCTTAGACACTGCTAGCACGGGCGCCTACAGAAACGCAGAGCAGGAGATGAAGCATCGCTGAATATGTTTCCAAACCAACTTCATTCTAAGCCAAAGACTAGAAAATATGGTGAAGAATATCTTCCCTTTGGTTTCACCTGCACAAGTGCTGAGGTAGGTCTCCCCTGCTTAATTGGTTTTCCCTTTGTCGGGAGCAGCGCTGGGCTCTTCAAATCAGGGACAAACAGTATCCCACATTTTTGATTTTTAGTTCACAAACACTTGTTATAATGACTCACTACTCCTGACATTTTGGAGATTCTAGCTCTTTATACAGTAAAGTTACAGCGGGATACAAATAATATCAGGCTGATCCTGCCACAATTTGTCCCCCGGTTCAAATCACGGACAAACAGTATCCCACAGTTGTTTATGTTTTTAAACCCATTTTGCACAGAGGCATTTTTTGATTTGATTGCAATGTTGAATATTATTACAAAGGGAAAAAAAACAACTACAAGTAAAATAATTACAGTGATGCCTCTGCTTTTCTAAATAGAGGGACAGTAACTGCGTATATATGTAAGCTGTAAAACCTGAAGATGGTCAGATTAACAGTATTTTGTCTATCTGCTATTCTGCAATTCATCTCATGTAAACAATAACGTGGCGCACAGCCTGACGTGAAAAGGGGCACATACCTTTGACGTTGCGTGACGAACTCTGTATTCCTCGTCCACACGTAAACGCCAAAAAGGAGTTTTAAAAAAATCTCAGTTTTCGGTGATTCCAAACGCCGTTTACGTGTGGACGAAACAGCTGCGTTTTCAAAAATACCCAGTTAGTTTATTTTCTTACTACCTGTAATTTATTGCAGATTACTTGTATTTGCTTAATTGCTTACTAAATGTTTGAGGTGTGAAATAAACCGCAATTGAGCAAAATATGGGTGTGTGTGGTTGGAGGATGTGCGCGTGCACGTGCGGGGGGGCGCGCGAACATTTTTCTTGTAAAACAAAGGGGGGGGTCTAGCAAAACTGAAAAATATCAAAGAAAGCATATGACCTTATTACAGTTAATTCTGTCGACCATTTCCAAGTTCAAGAAAACGAAATTCATGAAGTGCAAAGTTGACTCGATGTCTCTGCTTTCTCTTTGCTAATAAGGAAGTTCAGTGCTTGGATTTCTTCATTAATTTACATTTTGTTCATCTTGAATGACACCCGTATTTGTAAAATCAGGGTTCTTCTGTTCATCTGTTAATGTGTGAACACTAAACCATTTTCATCCCGTCTCACACAAACCAGCTTAAAGCTCGCTGAGTTTATGTTTATGTAGTTTGTATAGTGTAGTGTGGCTCACAATGCTCATGCAGATATTACAGATCTTTAGTTAACCATGTTTGAGAAATTTGAGGATGTGGATCTATTTTTTTATTTTTATTTTTTTTTTAAGATATATTTGATTAATAGGAAGTTGTTTAGTTAATTGGATTAATTTAAATGTCAAAACGTGGAAGCTTCATTACATAAACTGTTCAGTTTCATCATGATTTACTAACTATCTTTCATTCTAATTGATGTCAGCAGCCCATTCTTCAGAAACAAGATGTAAGCAAATAGTGAGGTGAATGAGCAGGGAGGCTGATTTTTGTCTCGATATTTTCTTACGTCTTGTTTTGTCAGAATGATCTGCATTTCAGCTCAGAGACTGTGTGAAAGAGAACCAATGTATAAAGATTACACAGTCCATACATTTTTATGCTGGGGTAGACAGTGAGACGTGGAACATTGTTTTGTTTTGTTTTTTACTAGTTGCATTCAGACCAGCAAAAGTATCAACTGTCGTTCTCCCTGCAGTAACTCACTAGGTCTCCTTTTTTTTTTTTTTTTTTTTTTTTTTTTTTTTTTAACACAGTGTTGCAGCATTTCAACCTAGCATCTTACCTTTAATACCTTTTAACTAGAAAAGGCTTTACAAGCGTTGATCATTGCAGTCGGACAGCTAAAACAACATTGCTAAAATACAGCTTTTCACTGATCTGTGCTGGCCATAATTAACATGGACCAACACTGATTTCTTAGCAGAATTTTACAAGATGCCGTTGTTGAAGGGATAAAAAATGAAGAGCGGTTTATATAGCAGTAAATATACATTCTCACAGCATCAGTTTCTGTGATGTTTCTGACAAGGAAAATGTGCTGAAGAGAGGATGATTTCATCTACTTGGCACAAGCGATATAAAAAGAATGTACTGCTTTTCACAAAACCTGCTGATAATAAAAAAAAAACTCGCTTGTATGATTCTGCATAAAAGAGGCATTCAAAGGCTTTTTGGTAAACAAGTTCATAACGTGGCAGTTTAAATGGTGTACTTTTACTCTGCAAATATATCAGAGTGTGGATTTTAAGTAAAGCCCTTGCATTTAAAGTTGTTGTTTTTTTTTTTTTTGTTTTGTTTTTTTTTTTTTACTTTATATGCCGTTAAGAGGAAGGGAAAAAATTGCAAACATGCTTTCTGTGTGAAAATGGTATATGAATGCATGGAAAGCAGGACCTATACTGAACCCATTTTGACCTTGTTTGGTTGTTTTCTGCAAATAAGACTAAATTGAAAGATTCCTTTAACTGTTAATTTATCTAATGTGTGAAAGTGATTATTGCAAAGACACCACATCCACTTCATGGCTTAAAGCACTTCTCTCGTGCTACACTGAGCATGACATGTGTCTGGTTTATGTCCAGTTTTCCAATGACTGGCCTGCTGAGCATGAATGTCTTCATTGGTCTTACAGGCTCCTGCCAGCATGCAGCACACACCAATCTCTGCCACTTTAAGATACAGTAAATGTATGGCAAACACTCACACAGTCAACTGTGCATGCTTACTGTTAACGGATATGCCCGAGGCATGTTTCCATCAGGACAGTTCCAACTCTGTTATCCACTTATGGAGAGGAAGAGATACAATATGGATAAAGGAAATATAGTTAAGAGTTTAATATTTAAAGAACAACGTGGCCGTAAATTAGAATTACATTTCTGAAAACAACCTAAAGTTGTGTTTGATAACATGAACCCTAGATTATTCTGCTATATCCAACATAGATGCCGTATATTTATTTGGACACCATCAGTACAGTTAAAGTAATGTCTTGCAATGGTTAACCATTTCCGAGAACAAGTTAAATTATTAGGACATTGTAGCGGAGCACTTTGGGTAACTCAGGAGATGGATCAGGTCATCTACTAATTGGGATGTTGATGGTTCAATTCCTGGCTGTTCCAGCCAAATATCCTTGGGAAAGATAACCTGATGCATCCACTGGAGTATGAATGTGTTTGAATGTTAGATAGAAAGAACTTGAATAGAAAAAAGCACTTGAGTGAATGGGCGTGATCGAGGTACTTTGTATAAAGGGCTTTGAGTCCTCTGGTAGAGTAGAAAAGCACTATATAAGAACCTCACTAGAAGTTTGTAGACTGAATAATCTCTCCTTCATTCTCAAGGATCCACCGAGGCAGGAAGATGACATGGAAGTGGCTCGAGCTGGTCAGGAGCTGAACCAGGAAGTAAATCGCCTAATGGTGGCAATGAGGGACATGCTGGCAAATATCCGGTTTCAGGAGCCACCAAGAGAGGACAACCCCTACAGAGATGATGATGAATGGGACTGAAAGAGGAGATAGAGGTGGACTAAGTGATGGATGAAGAGGAATAAAACTGAAAAAAAAAGCGATGTTAATAATTACAAGGAAAATAAGTTGGACAGCTGGATATTATTTTGTTGTCATAATTTCAGAATATTAGGCTGATTTTAAAAAACAAACACAAATACTACTGGGGTAATGTAGATGGATGTGAACCTGGCACACTTTGTTCCAAGCTCAGAAAGCAGATTGTTAGTTGGACCTGTCGTGTTGCCAAGGTTAAGTGTATTATTTATAATTATTAGTTCCATAATCAGTTTCCAAGCATTGTCAGTTCAGCAGCACTAACGGATAATAAGTCCTGCTTTTCTTCCTCTGGTTTCTGGCTTTCTGAGAGTTTTTCATTTTCTCTCATAAACACCTGCAGTGGAAGCTTTACGAAGCTAGAGTGAGATTCATGTAGTCTCATTCTGAGTGCAAGTTCTAAAGCAAACTGCTGCTTATCTGCACCTTAATACATATACACAGAATCATAAAATTTTTATTCTCATTGATTTGATCACTCCCAATAAAAACAAACTGAAAAATCCTTTGAAGTTTTCTTGAAGGCTAAAATTATTACTTTTTTTTTTTTTAACTTGAATATTTTAATGCGTAGCTAGTAAAGCATTTTAAATTGATCAATTCTGTTTTTCTAAAAAGGAAACTGCCTTTTCAGGCAGTTAGTCATGCCATCCATTTAGGTCTTATTTATAATTTGAACTGAATTATAGTTGATGCACATCCAGGCATTCGTATGTGCAATTCTTTTATTTTTGCAGGGATTCTGTAGCCATAATAATCTTACTGTGAGACTTCTATGATTTTTCGGCTGAATAATTAAGAAGTTCCAAAATATAACGGGGGCCACATGAAAAAATGTAAAGTGTTTTGACTCTTGGTAATAAATTTAATCAAACTGAGTCATTTCTGATGACAAACAGTACCACACAAACCTCAGCAAGATGCTGCTCGGCCTGATGACACACTTCTGTTGTGACCTGTTGCAAAAAGCATGAAAAGGTCTTCCACGTACACACCTGACATCATTTTAAGCATCCTTAAACATGATAAACTAGATTTGTTTTGTCTTTCTGGTCTTCGTGGTATTTTCTACTCACTGTCTTAATCATCTTGGCTACTGTTTTTGGTTTGTTTAAATTCTGCTGCTTTCTTTCTCTAATATTCTTATTACCTCTCAGACTTCGGCACAGATTCTCACATTTCAGTTTCAGTTTACTTGCACTTATTGACAACGCAGCTATGGCAGATGTTTTCATTTTTATCTCTTAAACTGGTAATTAAATGAACTCTTTTCTGTGTACACTCAGATTCTCATGACCTCACTTGATTATGCTCATTCCATGCACACTAAATCTGAAGCAGTAACTATGCTTCTGTTATCATCAGTGATATTTATCGTTTTTAACTTGTGCTTATTATTTTTTTTTTAACACTCTCCAACTGTTGCCCTTTCTTCTCAGTGTCCTTTCATGTTATCCATGGGAGACGATTCACCCCATTTATGCTTTACAGTCACTGTTCAAACATTTTTTTTTCAATACAAACACAAATGACGAGCTAGCCTGAGGTCTGTTACTCTCAGTCAAAGGACAAAATCATTGCGAGATGCTGTACACGCTTGAAACATACCTGCTTACTTTGTGTTCCAATGAGCCGCAAGGATGTGGGTGACTGTGCTAGATGGTCAAATGAGGTCATTGTTCCTAATTCACTTGGAGCTATGGGTGTTGTTGTGAAAACTTTTCATGTGATCATTCTGCTGTATTGAAAGCGCTTTCAGATTAGCGGCTCAGAGGCTGCTTGATGGGACTGCAGTATTACCACTGGTGCTGTGGGTTAAACGTAACCAGTTGCCATAACATAATTTAACAAAAACACCTAGAGCAAATTGAAATTCCTGAAAAAAATCAATGCAGAGTTGCAACAAATTTTTCTTTTCTTCGATAAAATATTTGTGCAACTTACTTGATTTCAGAATTGTTTTTTCGTAGTCACACGACTACGTGTGACCCCTGATATTTTTGTCATTGTATAAATTAAATGACACGGCAAATCCTCAAATTTCAGAAGCTGGACAGAAGCCGGTCTGCTACTTTTTTTTGTGACGTGTTTGCCTGCATGACTTGTCACTTTTGATAATACAAAAGAATTTGAAACCACATAAACATGCTCAAGAAGTTGAAGTTGAAATTATTAAATTTGATTTAACAAATTGTGTGGATATGTATCAAAGTTACTGTGCCGTTAGCTTGAGAAGCAAGTTTAACCACAAACAGCACGTTTGGCTCTATGAACACAAAGATTTTCACTTGCACATTTGTCTTAAAGCTATTTAAGACTTATTTTTAATGGAAATCATTTTTAAGCACAGGTAGATGTGTGGATTTTGTCCTGGATTACTTAAGCCTTAGATTTCATATTTAATGTTTTCACAATATGTACCTGGTCAGACTGACCCAGGCCAAGAATTGCCTCACAGTGTCTACACCAAATCTAGAATTATGCATCTGTTTAGATTTTTTTTAATAGCATAATTGTCATTTGTAGATTATTGTCCTAAATTAATGTTTAGGTTGAAGTTTTCCAACCGTTTTTTGTTTCAGAGAAAGATCTTTACTATCACACAATTTCCTTTGTTGTTAAGACATCATTAAAGAGTTTTCATAACTTACCATCCATAATTATTTAAAGATGATTTAACAAAAATAAAATTTAAAAAAATATTGCAAAGCAGTGAAGGGGAGCCTTGCATGTGTGGCAGTTGCACATGTGTTTCCCACACTCACTGAATTAGCAGCTCAGGTGAATTTTATGACACCCCAAGCCCTCATTTGGTCACAGTTAAATCAGAACAAATGGATTCTGACTGTTTTTAGATTATTTAGTTACATTGCAGGTGCTTGTGCTTGCAGGAGCAGATGCTGTGTCTATGTTAAGGGACCAACTTTGTTCCCTACTTGCACCTACTTCCTCCGTCTGCAGGAACCTGGGCAAATATGATTTGAGCACAGTGTTAAGATCCCTCTTGACCCCTCTCTTTATTACTGTCTCAAAAAAAATACACACAGACATGGCGTGTGCATCTTTATATGTGCAGTTGTTTTTAAAATGAGAATATCTAAGAACAAAACAGGAGGCTAACTACGAGTAAAGATTTAAATCTGCTTTCCAGAAAGTATAATGCAAGTTTTCAGAGCTTTTTCTTTTTTAGTTTTCAGAAATTATATTTTGGACACCAAGACTCTGATTAGAATAATATTAGCGTAAGTGAAGCATTTTCTTAAAGCAGAAAGAAAAGTGTTAAAAAAAAACAGATCGAACTATTACTGAATTCAATCCATCACCGTTCAGCTCTCTCCCAAGAAAACTTGGCACAACTTTCGCAGACAGGACCGCAGCGCAGCTGACGCTTGTGAGGAGGAGCCGCTTGAAGTCATTCAGGACGCAGCATCACTGTGAGAAATAATCCGGCATATCTCTCTCTCTCTCTCTCTCTCTCTCTCTCTCTCTCTCTCTCTCTCTCTGGTGGATCGGCTGCTCTGTTTGAGGAAAAAACGTGAACTCGGAGTGCAAGATTGCAGTGGAGAAGGAAAGATTACAGATGCCCATCTCGGAGCAGCTGGTTGGATGGGGCGAAAAATAATAATAAAAACTCAATAGGCTATAATAAAAATAAAAGGATTACTCGAGTCAAGAAACTCACTTTTCACCGGGACCAACGCGGTAGCTCGCCGATGATTTTTCAGGCTATTTAATGGTTGAAATAAATATAAATACATGTACTTGAAATTTTTGCGTGGAGTTTGATGATCCTGGACGGTTGAGGCTTCCATGGGTTTAACAAACAGTTCGGATGAGTTGCTTGAATCCCCAACCTGCTCAGAAGCAAGCTGTAACTGCGACAGCTGATGTAGAAGCATCCTCTAAGCTCCAGAGACAGCTGATGAAGGTTCCTTACCCAGTTTAAATCTGTGCTGCAGCAGCCTAAAACCCACACGGAGCACCTGAAAAGCTAAAAGCTTGCAGTTACCTAATAGAAGGCAGACATGGAAATGACCAACGGGTCCCTGCAGTATCCCTCCATACTTCACACGGACTTCGGACCGCTAAATGACCTTCTGGAGGAGAACGAAACGAACTCAACCGCAGGAGAGCGAAACTGGCTGAACTGCGTTCAGATCCGGGTCCCTCAGGAGCTCTTCTTGGCACTGGGACTCATCAGTCTGGTGGAAAACATCTTGGTCATCATGGCGATTATTAAAAATCGAAACCTCCACTCGCCCATGTACTACTTTATCTGCTGCCTGGCCGTGTCTGACATGCTTGTCAGCGTCAGCAACGTGGTGGAGACCATATTCATGCTTCTCAATGACCACGGCCTCCTGGATGTGAACCCCGGCATGCTTCGCCACCTGGACAACGTCATCGACGTGATGATCTGCAGCTCCGTGGTGTCCTCTCTCTCCTTTCTGTGCACCATCGCTGCCGATCGCTATATCACCATCTTTTACGCGCTGAGGTATCACAGCATCATGACCCCTCATCGCGCCATCATCATCATCGTGGTGGTGTGGCTGGCCAGCATCACCTCCAGCATCCTCTTCATCGTATATCACACCGACAACGCCGTCATCGTGTGCCTCGTCACTTTCTTCTGCACTACTCTGGTATTCAACGCCGTGTTATACCTGCACATGTTTGTCCTGGCGCACGTGCATTCTCGGCGCATCGTGGCTTTCCACAAAAACAGGCGCCAGTCCACAAGTATGAAAGGAGCCATAACCCTCACTATCCTGCTCGGGGTCTTTATTTTATGCTGGGGCCCTTTCTTTCTACACCTTATCCTCATCCTCGCCTGTCCCACCAGCCCCTTCTGCAACTGTTTCTTTCGAAACTTTAACCTTTTCCTCATCCTCATCATCTGTAACTCCCTCATCGACCCGCTTATATACGCGTACCGGAGCCAGGAGCTGCGTAAAACCTTGCAGGAGATGGTCCTGTGTTCGTTTTGCTTCGGCGTGTGATATCATGGACATTCCTGAACAAAACCGAGCGCAACACAACATTCTTCCTCTGTCTTCAACATGTCCGAAGATAGAATTAGACACAACTGATATATGTTTAAACATGCAAATGTTGCCCGTGCGCGAGTGCACATGGCAGCTGAAGACTGTCACACTGCAAAAATTTGATAAATAGAACTGGCTTCCGTTTTAGCTGTAAATTTATTTATTATTGCGTTACGCTTTTTTTTTGTTCTTCACTGGGAAGCTTGTGGATAATCTCGTAAATCAGTCAACAGTTTCACAACACTACTTATTGGATCTGGTCTTAGTGGTTTTTTTCTTTCTTCTGTAAACATGTTTGATTTTTTTTGTCTAAAAATGCCTCTTATGGTGGTCAAAATATGCTGCCTTAATTCTTTTTTAAAAAGGCGTTCAATTATTATAATTTCTTGAAAATAAAAAAGGAAGTTTACTTTCATTTTTAAAATGGCCAACAACAAAAGGTCGCTACCTTACATCTCTATCCCTTTTAAGATTATTTATTATTATTTCTGAATCAATATCTTAATTACATTTTTCTTTTAATGAATGATGTGCGTTGCAAGAATTAAAAAAATAGAAGCAGCGAATAATCTCTTAGTTACTGCAGCTCAAATGCAGATTATTTTATATATAGACTGTCTTTGGGAAAATGTTCAAGCATGGTGCAAACGGAGCAGGGGACGGATGAAACACAGCTTAATTGGAGGGGCGATCAGACTAAACCTTAAAATGACACTGTGTGACAAACTCCAAAATTACTGTTGCAAAAATAAACGCCAAATATCCCAGTGACTTTAAAAAAAAGAAAAGAAAAAAAGGGGACAAAAATCACATGAACATGCTTGGTGGTAGGCCCGAGGCTCATGGCATGAGAGGGTTTATGAAAGAAGAAAGAAGCCATGTCAAAGCTATATTTCTGGAAGTTTGTGGGTTCTCTGAAATGCGCAAATAAGGGACAGTTTGGGCTGCAGTTTTTGTTATGTAGGACAGTCTAGGAAGGAACGGACTAAAGATCCATGATTAAAAAGACAGCATACAGGTTACACCAAGTCCAGCTAATGTAATTAATTAACTTCATTGCATAAATTAATTATTAACATTAATAGTTTTAGTTGATGCATATATTCCATGGTGTTCTTTATTTATCCCACATAAGTGCTGGTAACAGGCCTGCATTTTGCACTCTTATCATTTTCTGTGGAAAAGATGAAATTCATCCATCTTAATTTAAACTCTGAAAAGTTTTAAATCCCCACATGATGGTGGGAAGAAAGGTTTCTGGGTTATCAAGCTGTCTGCCAACAGATAAATAAAGAAACCATGATAGCAACAATGCAATGCCTATTTATTTGCAACATGAACATTTTCTGGTTCACATTAACAAAAATATGCAAGGCAACGTTTGCTCTGGGCAGACAGTAGAGCCATTGATATACAACACAACAGAGGCGTTTTTTGAAATGCTCCATTTTTAAACTCATGATCAAGTTCATTTGCTGTGCCTTAAATAACAGCAATGAGCACAGGGGATTTCCAGTTTGAAAGAAAAAGAAAAATCCCTCATCCTGTCCTCAAGGAAAAAATTAAAAAATCCTAATTGTTTAAGATGATTTAAAAAAAATTCTTGGCTTTTTTGTATGTCACCCACACGCACATTATTAGAGGGAAATGGCTCATTTTTCCATTTTATGAAAGAAATGGAGGGAATGCGTACAAGTGAAAATGTACATATGTCAGTTCGTTAAGTGGACATTCTTATATACTGGTTTTCTACTTGAGCACTGAAAGTATCTATACAACATGTCTCATTCACCTGTTCACAAATTCATTCATACAAGCACCTTTTTCTGCTTCTAAGTGCTTTCTATCTAACATTCACACTCCTGAACATATCAGGAGTAACTTGAGGTTTGATATCTTGCTCAAGGACGTTTTGGCATGCAGACCCGAGCAACCAAGACTCAAACCACAAAGCGACTAATAGATGACCTGCCCTACCTTCAGAATCACAGCCACCCCAGTATTATATTTGCAGTATAATTGTTTTTTTTGTTTTTTTTTTTGTTTTTTTTTTTAAAACTTTTGCTAAAATCTTTTCTTTCCAGTTAGATTTTCATGTTGTAACAGTCCATAATTGTATTACATGCATTGGCACAGCCTAAATTTCAAAGAAACTTCAAGATGATGAAAGATAATCCCAAAATGAATGAATGCTATTCATTGTGATGGTTTGTGTCTAAAAATAATTTATTACCCTTATTAAATAGTAATTTGTGAATGGTAGTTGCTTTGGAAGATTGTCTCACGGCTTTGAAACATTTGTCTCTCCTGCCAATCCCGTCTCAGATATTAAATAAATATTAGGGTTGATCACGACACGTGCTTCTCAGAGGAAAACTGACATGGACCAGAACACACTGACATCACTGTCAGTGACCTGTAATGATAACGTTGACCATGAACCCCAGATTCGTGACCATGAAAATAAATGAAAAATGAACCATATGTTATCTGTAGTGTCTCACTTAATTAGAATTACTGCTGATTAAAGGAAGGAAGAGACGTGTGACTACATAATTTCCAGGGAACAGCATGTTATTGTTGGTGCTATGACTTCTGCCTTCATTTAGCCACACAACACAGCTCTGTTTGCAGTAAAGGAAAATCTCCACAGCTGCTTCCCCCAACAACAAACACACTCAAGCTATATCCATATGACCAGACCACAAAATGCCTACCCTCAGGGATGAATGCCAATAAAATATATTTTTAAAAGGTTTTTAATCAAATGATTTTGATTAGAAAATCTTTACAAACAAAACCTCCCATAACTGAAAATAGTGGATACTGAAAACTGAAACAATTATAAAATAGCATAAAGTAATGCAATAGTTCTCCAAAAGTTGATTCTGTTCATCTGGACGTAGCGTTTTTGGGAGAAACGTTTCGTCACTCATCAGAGTGACTTCTTCAGTCTCAGCTGACTGCAGGTTTCCCCAAATCTTATAAACAGTACATCTGCACAATCATCTGCACTGAAACCAGCCCACTGAGGGGACAATGGGCTGGGAGGTCAGTTCCTTAATCATAATTATGCAAATTCTCATTTGCCCAATTAGAGAGACTGGACATTCATCCATCTGTCTTCTGTGTATCCAATTCAGGGCCAGCAGGCTGGAGCCTATCCCTGCTGTCATAGAGGCAGGGCAGGTAGCCAGTCTACCACAGGGCTACCACAAACAGGCAGACAACCAGCCACACTCACATTCGCACCTGTTGCCCATTGACAATAACCAATTAACCTAGCCCTCAAATCAGATTGAGATGCTTTGGCATGACCTGAGTTAAAATAAAGAGCGGGCCAATATTCCTCCACAGCAGTGTGAAAGATTCAATGCACCATACTGTTTGACAGCAGTTCTTGCTGCTGAGGGTTGCTCAAGCAGTTAGTAGGTTTAAGGAATATAACCTGACCACCTAACCACAGGGCTAAGCAGGTTTGGATAACTTTTTTCCCTTAATAAATTAAATCATTATTTAAAGAGTGCATTTTGTATTTATTTGGGTTGTCATTATCTAATATTGAAATGTGATTATCTGAAGCACGTAAATGTGACCAATAGGGAAAAAAAACCATAGAGGCATGCACACCTCTAAAACATTTCTATACACTGTGAAATTGTTTTGGTACCCCCTGAAAGTTAACACACTCGTGCACATGTGATGGTCATTGTCCACAAATCTCTTAGGACAGCCGTGAAAGACAATGAAAGACCCGTGTTTACCGAGTCTCTACAGTGAAAATTTGCTCTACAACCTCTGATACTGAACATTATCTCCATAAATCTGCTTTAAGCTGAACCAAAATGGGGTCTGAATGTAGTACTGGTGTGTGTTTTAGTTTCCATTAGATGCAACAAGTAAACCCATATGGAAAAGATCTATATAAATCTTATAAAGTTTGTATCTGTCTTGTGTGAAACTTGGATGAAAAGCATACAAGAGTGAAAACAGATATAAGATCCCTTGAAAAATTATATAAATGAAACTTGTATGTTCTGGATACTTACTAAAACAATGTATGAAAGTAATGAGAAAGTGGCCACTTTCATGAGTAAATCATGTAAGTTTTTACTATTTCTTTTCCACATGGGAAGGCAGCTCTGCTATGTATGGTGGTTATTTGTGAATCTTAATTTCAATTCAGTTCATGTGGCGGAGGTGTGGTCCCGGGCGCGTCTGCAGGGGAGGAGTGGTGCAGTGGGTTCAACGGGGCTGTGCTGGAGATGCCGGTGAGAACAGCTGATGGCGATTTGGACTGATAATGGTTTCCTTCCCTTTTTATAGTGAGACGGAGAGGAGCGGAAAGAGAGGGAAATCAGCTGGGACCGACAGCTGTCAGACTGTGTTCAGTCATAACCTGAGAAAATTGTAAATAAATGTGGAACCTGGTGATAAAGACCTGTGTGTGTGTGTGTGTGTGTGTGTGTGTGTGTACCTGTGTATAGTGCATTTCACAGTTCACTTTTTATATAGTTCCAGTTCACAACAACAGTCATCCTAAGAAGCTTCACATTGTAAGTTAAAAAAAACTTTGATTGCAAAGAGAACTTCAACAATCAGACAATACCTGCTGAATATCTGCTAAAACTGGTTTGGGTGGGAGACAGAAAAGAGACCACAACAAAAAGAAGAGAGTAGAGAGAGAGATAATAGTGGCATACGATGAGTGAAAATGGGGAAGAAGAAGTCCATAAGTAGCCTGATCCTATAACTTTATTAGTCTAGATAAGAGTTATCAAAAAGGTAAAGCTTTAAATCTTTAAAGCAGTGAGAGTCTCTGTCTCCCAAACCCAAACTGTGAGCTGGTTCCATGGCAGAAGGCTCTGCCTCCCATTCTACTTTCAGAAACTCTTAGAAGCACAAGTAACATGACAGTCTGAAGAAAAGCTGCTCTATAAAGTCTTTATGTAACCACGAGGCCTTATAATTCAAGACTTTGTATGTAATGGAAATAATCATCTATAGAAATAGAAATGGAAAAAAACAAAATGCTCATTGCCACACACTTGCTACATTTGTGCACAAATAAATGAAACTCAATGTAAAAAGGTTTTTAGGGCAGATTCCTAGTAGATTACAGAAGCAGCATCATTCCCAGAAGCAGTAAAAACAAGGAACAAGGAAAAGAATGAGGCACCAAAATGATCACACTGAAAAATACAGTTATGATAGGGTTATGGCCTCTTCATAGATATGGCAGACATGTAGCAACATCAGCATTCATTTTCTCTGGAAGCCAACTAAGGCAGGTTATTATTATTATTATTATTGTTGTTGTTGTTGAAGTAATGCAAAGTGACGTTTCTTATATGTGACAAGTCTAGGGATCTTTCCATGTAGATTTACTAAAGCCCATCTTTATGTATTTTAGCTTGGTGCAAAGCTTTAAATCTAATCTTCAGTGTGAATCATACATGGTAATAACTTCTAGGAACTCCCAAACTGTTGTAAATTATAATTCATAACAAGCTTGGTGGTCAAAACATTTTCTCCGAAACCAAATACTGAATACTGTTATTGGAGAAATGTTATAAAAAGACTGTCAGCTGCTAAGGGGATAATGTAAAATTTTATTTAATATGTGCAACAACCCTGAACTCCAACAGTACCCTCTCCCTCCTTTATTTGAACTGGTTTCATCATATTCCACTGAAGTGCTTTTTACATTTTTAAGCATTTTTAACCAAGGCAACAAGCCACGGTAATAAAACCACACTTAAAAAGGTTTCTCTGTAGTTGCTTGTGTATTAACAGCAAAACCACTGATATACTGGACCAGATATAAACAGACTGCTTACACTGTATTGATTATTATTTATTTATTTTCGTTTTCTTTTGTTTTTTCAGTTTTTACGCAACATGTTTGCTGCGAAGATGTTGTTTGCCATATTCAGTAAGCTCATGAACATTCTCCCTTAAAGCTAGCATCTGTGATATTTATGACCAGTCACTAACTCTAATTTTTCAGAAATCCTTTTGTGGTATTTAAAACGGACAGTTTATGAAAATGACATTAGATGAGTATAACATATGGTTTTGCAGAGTGCAGTGTTCAGGTGCTAAATCTGTAATAATTTATTTCCCCAGTAATATGTGACCTCATTTTTTGTACCCTTGAGCTAAGCAGCATGAAACGCGTTTTGTCCTTGCATGAATCCAAAAATTCCCAGTTTAAAATGAGGAGTTTGAAATGGAATTTCCTACACAAATCATTCTTGTCTTCAAGCAAAC